GTGCATGCTGTTAGAAGTTTTCTCTTTTGTACATCCTGTATTTTCAGCTTGGAGAATCTTAGGTCAGATACGGTTCTTTTAATTTTGTTTTTTGTTTGACTGTCTTTTTCTACCTCATTAAAATTTATTAATGAAAATTACTTACCACTTTAACCTAACCCGTGTCAATAAATTTGTTGTCTTAGTAATGGCCGATGGTTGCCAGCAAAAAAAAAAAAGGTCTACTTCTTCCGTGCATCGATAAAAGCATAGGCCCATAATTTAAAACTCAAAATATCCTGGAGACCACCACACGAAGTTACAAAGAGAATTGCAGTTCATCCTCCTTGGACCGAAAGCTGGAGCGCACTTACCATTACGTCACTGACACTTCCTTTGCATTGTAAATAACGATTAACTTAAATTCTACCTGGTTTACCAGGGCATTGCCCTTCGTTACAACTTCTTGTAGAAGAACTTGGTCCTAGTCCACTGCAGTCTTTTCCACCGTACTGTGGTGGGGGATTAGTGCATGTCCGCTCGCGTGTCTGTTCCCCACCTCCACAAGTCTTTGAACAATCACCATATGCTGTCCAAGCAGAGTAGCCGCCATTGACTGCAAATATATCACGGAGACTTCAACATGGCAATTCAGCTTCGTTAAGACTCACTAGGGGTTTAAAAAACCTTTCACTCTGAATTCTGACATTCTCTCGTTTTTAAGCGCATGGACCTAGACCTTTTTACCCAGCGGTGTTCTCTCTGCGGCAGACTCATTCACTCACGTGTACCAGAGCCAAAAAAGAAGAGCTCAGATAAGTCATTTAGAAACACAGTTTCTGATCTTTTGGACCTGCGCATCTCTGAGAATAACAGGTTAAAACGTTTTACCATATGTAAAAACGCTTTTTTCGTTTCGGATCTTTTTGGTGAATTGGTGTGAAAGCTGCTTAAACGTAGTGTAGAAAGGGTAAATACACCTCTATGGTAAAAAATACTTAAGTCTTAGAGTAAAAGTATGAAGCTTTTGTTCAGTCAAAGGTCTGAAATTTTCATCATCTTGGTTTTCAAAATGCCAGTCAAAGATAGTTTCTTCAAGATGACAAAGCGGAGCATAGTCGGAGAGGGTGGTATGGAGAGAAGGGATAGAAAAGAAGAAAGGGAAACGTTGTAGAGTGAAGAAAGGTCTAAAGAGAATCGCTGAACGAAGGGTCTGTAAAGGTTGAAAGGGAGAAGGGCGAGATGAAGGAAAGAGAAGGATGAGGGAGAAGTAGGAGGGACAGACAGGAAGAAAGAAGTGTCGGGAGGCGGAGAAGAAGAAGGTGAGAGAGGGCCAAAAGGCTATGGAACGAAAAAGGAAAACAAAAACAGAATGATTTTTGTTGTTCTTGTAATCATACCTGGGCAGCCTCCAGCATCGCATTCTTCAGTCTCTTTGTCAGATCCTAGGCTTGAGCAGTCCTTTCCACCGGCGCTCGGAGGAGGACTGGTACAAGTGCGAGTGCGGGTGTGACTACCCTTTCCACAGGTTTCGGAACACTGGGACCAAGCTCCCCAATTTGAATAGCCACCGTCGTCTAAAGAGAAAACCAAAATTTTGCCTCTTGCTCTCAAGTTCTCAATTTTATCATTTTTTGTTGCTTTAATCCTATCGCTTCAGTTGATTCTGATACTGCTACCGCCTGCATCAATTCCCTTCCTGCTGCCACTACAGTTACCACTTGCCATTGCTACCACTACAACCTTAAATTTGACACTCTAGGCTGAATACTACAAGCGCTGTGATTGAACTTTGGCAATAACTATTGAATCACTTTATAGACGCATGGCTGACATCATACAAAAATGTTTCCTTTGCTTTACATAGCCCACAATGATTGAAATTTTTGAGAATTTTGTCCGCATTGAGAAAGTGAAATCTTTAACTCGATTTAGCAATAGCTTTTTACCACCAAATTTTGTTCTTACCAAATTTTGACGTAATCTGTGGTCTATTTTTTGAGCAGACACACGATAACGTGAATTGTATTTGTTCGATATACCATAGAGAGTTATGCGCTTGAGGGCTAAGTGAACCTAATTAATCAGTAAAGAAAACGCAGAGAAAGCATTCATCTTTCACCCAATAGAATGTGTATGATTCGATTATTTGAAAAAAATGGCGTACACAACTTCCAACGTGATACGCAATAAGCGTCAAACATAGATACTCTGAATTGGCTATAAACAATTACTAGGTTAGTTTAAAATCATATGATCAGGATAAACGGATCGTACTTGACTTGCAACCGTAAAACTCGAGCCTCATCGCAATGTAGGTCTGCCATTCCTCTGGAATGATCTTCAAATATCGTGCCCTGATAGGTGGGTCCAATTCGTGGCCAACAACGGTATAACGATCGCTATTTGCCTTAAATGTCTTATCACATAAAAAGAAAAAGAAAAAAGGTATTCGAGAGAGAGTTAATTAATCCACTACCAAAGCGTTCTCGTAGAGGGCATGGTCTCTGCCTTACGTTTACAGAATGCGTACCTTTACATCTATCCGCGATATAAAGACTTGAATCTTCACCAATTTTGCCCTTATA